TTCTTCAGCACCACCCCCCTACCCCACACTGAAATTCCAAATGCAAATTAAGACTGATTTCTACCTGTCATTTCCAATTGAACCAAATTGGACTTCTGTGGCAATTCATAGCTGCAGTGTGCACTGCCCTGCAGCAGGCAATCATTTCACATTAAGAGAGAGAACAATATTTTTGGATTGCTAACTAGGCAAAGGTTCCTTACTAAGTTCATTTTACCTTTTGAATAGGTGGAGGTAGCATGTGAGCAAGAGTAAAGATGATTGAAATTCCATTTTATTTATACTCTGACTTTGTCTTTGTAAATAGTTATGACAAAAACTAGTGGCAGATTTTAACTTTGGGAGAACCAACAGTCCACATGGCGTGACTGGAGTGCAAAGCCTAAGCCTTGCATCGAACCAGCAAGCTGGCAGTCCTAAACCTGTAAAAGGATGGGCAGGACATTCCCAGCTCTTGAATGGTACAGGCATTGATAAAAAATATGAAAACATGTGAGAAGAGCAAAGATCTGATTCTCGGTGTTGAGAAAAAATATCCAATTTCTTTCCTTCAGGTTTCAAGAGTGAATTCTGAATGTCACAAATAGGTGGTGACTACCTTATTTCCATGCATTCGTATCTAATTAGAAGCTAATCGTAGCTTATTTCTATGCAGCTCGCAATTTGGCCCTCACTCCTGAGAAACCAATGGGTGATAATTCCCAACTTCAAGGTTAGAACAGTTACTTGGCAATGCAGCTCGCCACCTGCTTCTCCATGACTCTATTCTAATTTTACCATGTTCTTGAATGATCCACATTCATCCACAAGAGTTGGCATTGAAGTTAGTTATCATGGCTAATCTTGGACCAACTCAGCTCTGGGGACTTCACTTTGGAGCTCAGAGATACCTTTGACTTACATACTTCTACCCGATTGTGTTGTATACAGGGATACACAGTCTTTAACAGAATCCCTGAAGTGTGGAAACAGGCCATTTTGCCCAACAAGTCTACACTGACACTCCAAAGAATATCCCACCCAGTCTCACTTCCTACCCCATTCCTAACCTACACATAAATAAAAAACAAAATAGGAAGGGTCACCGGACCTGAAACGTTAACTCTGTTTTCTCCTTCACAAATGCTGCTAGACCTGCTGAGCTTTTCCAGCATCTTTGTTTTTGTTCCTAACCTACACATCCCTGGACACTATGGGGCAATTTAGCATGGCCGACCGACCTCACCTGCAATCTTTGGACTGTGGGAGGAAACCAGAGCACCGGAGGAAAACCAATGCAGACACAGGGAAAAACATGCAAAGTCCACACAGACAGTCGCCCAAGGCTGGAATTGAACCTGGGTGCTGTGAGGCAGCAGTGCTGACCATTGAGCCACCGTGCCGCTCTCATGCATCCACACAGGATCCATCTTATGGCTCTTATCTGAATTTTCTAGTGCTAACTCACTTATTTGGAGGCTGCCATCCTCTATGGATTGCAAAACATTTTAGCTGGATGGCAGGATGGGTTAGTAGTTTTGGAGGATGAGATAGGTGAGAGTGAAGAGGTTTTATGCAGTAGTGAGTTTGGTAGCCCATGATTATTGGTGAGATTTGTGTGCAGTGGCAGAGTTAGAATGAGTGTGAGTTAGCAGAGAGAAGATGATGGAACTTAACCCTCTGAAGTGCAGAAGATCATGATCGTGGACTGCTGTGCTGTCTGTCTGACTGTGGAGACCACACTGGCCCAGACTGGTATTAGTGTCCAGGCTGGCTACATTTAGTGTCTTGAACTCCACTCTTGGTCCATCAGGTAGAGGATGGCTCTCCTCTCAGCCACCCCACCTCAAGGTATCTGCCTGGAAAGCAAGATGCCAGCTTCCCATTCTGAGGCATTTCTGTTTCCTAAGATAACAACATACAAAGTAGCTCCTGGCTTGCAGTATCTAAAATGCTGTGCAGCTGAGATTTAAATATGCTGCCAGGGAATTATAAACCAGAAGGTGCCAGCAGTGTCAGGAATTCCTGAAATTTAGGGCTAAACTTGATTTTAAAAATCAGCCAAGTGTCAGTTTTGGCAAGTTTCAAAGAGGGTCTCCTTCCTTGAACACTAGCGACTTTTCTAACACTGTCTTCCCAAATTTGAGTCATTACCAATGCACCACATCCCATTGGCGCCCTGCTTGTCACATTCTCCCACCTGCCTTGCCCTCCCTGATTCCCGGCACTTTAAAGCCGAGCTGTGCACTAGGTCAAGTGCTGACTCCTCGCAGCTGGCCTGAACTGTCCTGCACCAGACGTGTTGGATAGAGTGTATTTGACCCCGCTTTGCTGACAGAGGCTTGGAGATCCTGCTGAAGGGAAGGTGGTGTGGGTGCAGGTGGTGTGTGACCTGAGATGCTGATGACTGGTGGAAGTCTGTAGGAGCAAGTGACAACTTGGAATTGCCAAGTTACCATGCTAACTGTCATGTCGGGAATTATCATTATCTAGTTTCTATCCAGTGAGTGAGAGAATGGGAAACTGTACATCAGTGAACAGAGATAATATCATAAAGAGGAAGCGAATACAGGAAAATTGTCCTTTTGTTGCTCACTAGTGTGAGTCTCATCTCACTATTCAACACTGGTTGGAAAATTGAACTTGTTGCTCTTGACAGCAATTAGCTCTTTCCTGGACATTTCACGCAGTTGTCCAAATTTTCTCGCCAATACCCACATCATTCATAGGCTGGGAAGATTCCACCTTTAAATCTACAGTCAGAGAACTCTTTTAAAACGATACAGGGGTTCAGTAACTGTCATCATGGACTCATAACTTTACTAATCTCGTTTGATTTGGTAAAGTTAAATTGTGCCCTTTTTAAATCATTGACTTAAACAGCATTTAGATGACTTAGATAACTTTAAGAGGAAATGGCCACATGTTTGTTTTAAAAAAAAGGTAAACTACTGCATCAATTTACCAACATTTAATGTTCTGTGTAGACTGTCAGTTCAGATTAAACCTGGAAGCCAAAATTGTCTAGGTTTCATGTTGTCAAGGTAAGGAGCATTTGACATTCAGTTTGCACCCCTCCTACCCAATTTTTCATTCACATTACAGGTAGGCTTTTAATAAAACTGAAAATTGCTGTTTAAATTTGAGATATTCATGCCAGTATTATCCAAAAGGCAAAATGTCGACTTTGCAATTGCTTCCTCACTCCCATCTTTTTGTTCTCATATACGTGTCTTTAGTGAATCTGGTACTTTGAAGCCATTTTATCATGCAGCAGGAAACACTGTGATTTCAGCTAAGGGCACTGACTCTGTGGATGGAAAACTCGTGTAGAATACAAAAATCCTATTGTATAAAGCTGCATGAGGATCAACAGTCTAGTTGAGGTTGAAGAATGCTCCGCTGAAGATGTAGCTTGTTGATTTATTTACAGGGAACCCTTAATATCAGAGAAATGATTGGGACCAGAAGGATTAATATAGATCAAAAATCAATTTAAACACATGGATTACATTTGTAATGTGCTAGCCTCACTTCAAACAAATGAAATTTGAGATGTATTACTTTAAACTGGAGGGTATTTTCTCACTATGTTCAATCCTTGCTCATTTAAGTTTTGAACTTAGAAGAAAGGAAAATTGCGGGTGAGCCAAACATCTGTTGTACGCAATGTAAAAATAGGTTTGATGTTCTTGTGAATTAGGAGGAGTGGTAGACCATTCATCCCCTCAAGCCTGCTTTGCCACTCAAGTGAAACAAATCTGCATTCCCACTTACCCTGGATAACCCTTCACTCCTTTGCTGAACAAGAATCATCTATCTCTCCCCTAAAAAATATTCAAGGACACTGATACTACCATCTTTTCTGGAAGAGAGTTCCAAAGACTAAATACTGTCTAAGAGAAAAAAAAACTCACCACATCACCGTTTCAAATGCGCAACACCTCATTTTTAACGGTGCCCGTAGTTCTAAGTTTTTTCTGGTCAAAAACCTTCAGGATCTTGTATGTTTCAATTAAGTCACCTCTTAATCTTCAAATGTCCACAGATAGAAGACGAGCCTGTTCAACCTTTTCTCAAAGGACAACACACCATGCCCAAACCCCGCTTTTCACGGCCTCATCTGATGCTATTTTGATAACTTCTTCCAACCCATTAATCCTGTAGGATTATTGCATTCCTCTAAATCTGGCCTCTTGTTCAGGCCTCACCTATTTAACACTTATCTAGGCCAAATTTGAAACTGCTCCCCCCCATACTTTTCACCTCTATACTTTGCTCCATTATGATGCTGCATAAAACCTACCTCCTTGATCAACACTTACTCACCTTTCCTAATGTCTCCTCCATTGACCCAGTGCAGTTTTTGTTTGATCGGATTCCTGTGAAGGACGTCACACATGTTAAAATTTTGCAGGAGAAATCGGTGGTCACTTTATTCCATTTGACTTTAATGTTTTGCTGCGTCCCAGTACATTGCCCTAAATCAAGGTACTAACTTGCACTGGCCTACAGGACACATCGTGCCTATAGGCCAGTGCCAATGCTGTTGCAGATGATCATGCAAGAGTTGATTTATAGTAGTTCCCAGAGACAAATAAATCAAAGTTTACAGATCTGAGTGATCACACATTCAGGGAATTCTGCCTTCGGGGTAGTCCGTGTTGTATGACCTGCTAATTTGAAATTGGAGCACATTAGAAATTAAATAATGCTTGTTTCCAAACCATAAAATAAAACCTCGCCTTAAAATGTCATTGACAGCAGTAGTATAATAACATATTTATCCAATCACTGTACCCCCACTTCCACCTTTCAGCTTTTGGCTTTGGACTTAAACAGATGTAATGATGTAAAATTGCACCAATGTTTTCCTCAAGATAAAAGGGTGACAAAATAAACATAATTTTCATAAATAAGGTATAAATTTGTGGCATTATTATTTCCTCATTTGTTGCAACAAAACAATCCACTATGTGTCATCGTGAATATTGACTCTTCATTAATATTTACTCTTACAGAGAAAGAAACTTTTCTGGATCCCTTTGTATTGGGAAATTTACTTCCTGCCTCACTTGGAAGCTATTACAGATACTCCGGCTCCCTAACAACACCACCATGCAGTGAAACAGTAGAATGGATAGTCTTCAGCAGGCCTATCTCCATCTCCCTTGAGCAGGTATGTATTTATGTTAACATGGAAATGCATGAACCTGCGTTTACCTACAGTTTTCTAAAGTCATTATAGGAAGGATGTGGAAGCATTGGAAAGGGTGCAGAGGAGATTTACCAGGATGTTGCCTGGTATGGAGGGAAGGTCTTATGAGGAAAGGCTGAGGGTCTTGAGGCTGTTTTCGTTAGAGAGAAGAAGGTTAAGAGGTGACTTGATAGAGACATACAAGATCATCAGAGGATTAGATAGGGTGGACAGTGGGAGCCTTTTTCCTCGGATGGTGATGGCTAGCACGAGGGGACATAGCTTTAAATTGAGGGGTGATAGATATAGGACAGATGTCAGAGGTAGGTTCTTTACTCAGAGAGTAGTAAGGGCGTGGAATGCCCTGCCTGCAAAAATAGTAGACTCGCCCACTTTAAGGGCATTTAAATGGTCATTGGATAAACATATGGATGATAATGGAATAGTTTAGGTTAGATGGGCTTCAGATTGGTTTCACAGGTCGGCGCAACATCGAGGGCCGAAGGGCCTGTACTGCGCTGTAATGTTCTATGTTCTATGTCTCATTCATTTTAAAGAAAGAACGTGTTGCTTTTACAAAAAGACCATTGACTCCTTTGCAACAGATCTCACTACTGAATAGCTGTTGTAATGCAAACAGAGATGTGTGATTGAACAAATTTAAAGTGATAAGAAGGCTGGTGCATGTTGGCACTTTTACGTTTAGCACTTCAATTCATCTGCAGTATAGTTTTGTCCTTGAGAAGGTCAGCCATTTGATTGCATCATATTTTCTCATACAATAAATTAAACTGCTTTCTTAGAAATATGTCTTGTCCATCTTTTGCCAGACACTGCAATGTGCAATTGTTATATGATGATTGTGCGCATTAGAATTCAACATTTTTTACAAAGCATTTGATATTGAGATGTATTGACAAGGTGGCAGCAGATATATATTCTTTAGCAAAGGATATATTTATTGTCTTGATTTTTTTATTTCCATTGTTGAGTAGCATAGCTTTTCTGTGAGAGTATATGTCTAATCCTAAGAGCCTTCACAAAATAATCTTCGTTCCATCTCAGTGCCTAGAATATGAAGAAAGGCTGATTTTATATTAACTAATTAGCACTGTCATGTTGAGTCATGCATATATTTTCAAAGTGAGATTTAGCAATCAGTGCTGTCACAATGAAAAATTATTATTGATGAGTAAAAAGAAGTATCTCTATTCTTAAAAGTTAACTTCTTTATATATCATTACCATTAGGATAAAGTTGTTGTTGTCCCAGAGGGCAACAGGGCTGCCCTCTAAGTTTAACCTGAGGGTCATAATGCCTCAGGCAAACAGTGAGGTTATGAAGGCAGAACCTTCATGGTGACCTTCGCCAGTGCAGGTGTTGAACCCATGCTATTGGCATTACTCTGCATTGCAAACCAGCTGTCTAGCCACCAGAGCTAAGCAACCTTCTAATTAAGTAATTAAGGACTGAATCTTGTGTTTTTTTGACTCCATGTTGTCAAGCTTTTTTTACTGGAGGGTTGCTTTCCACAAGACCAAGAGGGTTTTCTCATCACATCATACCAAACTCACCTTATTAATTACCAACCCTATCCCTATGGCATCTCACATGTCCAATTTCCACCCCATCTTTTGCCATTTCCAGAATAACTCACTACCCAGTTGATACCCCAGAATTCATTGACATCTGTTGCACTGTCCTCCATCTTTAAAAGCCCACTGTGCAACTGGGCAAGCATTAGCTGTCCAGAGCTGCCTTACACAGGTGCTGGTATTTGCTCTGGACATGGAAGACAAGGTAAAATGGCACAGTGCTTTTCAGGCAGGGTCCTGGGGGTCCTGATCAATGGAGTGGTGTTGCACAGGCAGGGCTTCCTCTTGCCCCACCAGCAGCAGTGGAGGCCCCGACACCAGACCTTGCTAGCCTGATCCATGGTTTTCACCAGGGTTAAAGCAGTCTCAGCCATCTGGAACAATGCCCAACACTGCAGGAGAAAGATCATGCCTCTGACTGCATGAGTGCCTCTATCTTCTCTCCAATACTTCACACTCACTCTTTATCTGCTATTGTATCCACCTCTTACAAGGTTCATGATCTATCACTCTCAATATTGCCTGTAACATCTTCCCAAACTATCCTCACCCACTTCAGCCCCCGAAACCACTAACTTTGCATGCCCTCTGTGCTGTCTGCTCATCCATTCGGGATACCTTCCCACCTACACCAACAGTAACTGCTGTGCCACCCACTCTTGTCTTCCATAATTCCTGTATCTCACTTATTCCAATGAAGAAAACAGCCCACAATAAGAGCCCACAGAAAGCGTCAAGACAGATAGGGTTCTACCCAGTTTTCAACTTCTTACTCCGTATGAGGAGAAGATACTGACTCTGACCACACCAAGCTAGACATAGACTGATATCGGAGGGTGACCTTGAGCAAAAGCTTGCTGACAACAATGACAGATTTCCTGACTTTATGTCTGTGCCAAATGAAACAGCAAGACAGCAGCAACATGAGCGTGGTGTCTCTGGCTGAGGGGGCCAAGCAGAAAAGCCAAGGCAAGGCAATGCATGGGCAGGAATGAGTAGGGTCAATGTGAGTGAGCACCATTAGTAATGAGTGAAGAGACCAGCGATACAGTCTGGTCCAGTGCATGAGGTGGTGCATGCCCTGAGTGCACAGTGTCCCTGCCACAGCATTAAAGTGATAGCTGCCAGTGCTTGCAAACCATCTGGTTCAATCTGAAACAAGTTGTCCAGGCAACTTAGGGATAGAGTTGGTGATGAGGGAACAGAGTATGTGGTGGTTTCAGATTTGCTAAATATTTAATTGGTGGAAATTTCTGGTCATTCTGTGCTGGATGTAAGACAATTTCGATGTCTGACCATTTAAGAACAGCGAAAGGATCAAGAGATTTGGTGGTGAAGTAAAGATGGATTTATCAGTGGAAACAAATGTTTTCTCACAAGATGTTGCTGAGGGACAGCAGTAGATGAGAAATTGGTGTGGACTCAGAGATCAGATGAAATTGGAGTAGGAGTAGGCCATTCAACATATCGAACATGCTGCACTATTTACTGAGATCATTGCAGCTCCAATTGTGGCCATGACTCCATTTTTCTGCCTGATCCGCCAGAATCTTTGACTTCCCTGTCAATTAAAAACTTGTCCAACTCAACATTGAATATATTCGTAGTCAAATGTTGCAGATCCCTGTTAAAGAGAATTCCAAAGGTAAGGAACCTTGGGGAAAAAAAGCCTCCTCATCTGTGTCTTCAACGGGAGGTCTCTTACTTCTAGAATCTAGGTCTAGATTCCCTCCTCAACATCTAACCTGTCATGTTCTCTTACAATCCTGCTTGTTTCAAGAAGATCAACTCTCATTCATCTGACCAACGAGTTTTGATCCAAACTGCTTAATCTTTTTTCATAAGGGAATCCCTTTATCCCAGGAATCAGCATAGTGAATGTTCTTTGATCTTCATCCAATACAACTTTATCCCTCCTTAAGTGAGACGACCAAAACTTTACACAGTGCTCCAGAGTACGATCTCATCACTATCTTATATAGATAAAGGAAGTATTCCCTATTTTTAAACTCTAACCCCCTTGCAATAAAAAGTAATATTACACTTACTTTCCTAATTATTTTCTGCACCTGTGCACTAACTTTTTCATGTTTCATGAGCAAGGATGTCCTTTTTACCAAAGTATGCTGCAGTGTTTCTCCATTTAAATAATATGCTCCTTTTATGTTCTTTCTACCAAAGCTGATGCTTCTACATTTTTCCACATTCTTGTAATTGCTTCAAATGCAAATGCAAATGCTGCTTTTGTTTGTTTGCCTTTGAAAATAAACATGAACATTTTCAAATGTTTGAAGATTTTCCAGTATGTGATGGCCCCACCTTGAACATATTCGGCTATATTGAGAAGATATTCAACCACGCTGGCCATTAAGGAATAACTAATACTCCTTTGATCAAGTTTAAAGATGGTAACTAGTATGACATGGCTCTGAAATAGCAATACATTTATGAATGTTAACTTGTATTTGCAATGGAGTGTCAACTGTGCCACCTCTGTGACCCCATAAACATTTCTTTTTGGTTCTCATCCCGCCCGGTGTGTGCACGATGAAAGGCAACACCTGGCTGACAGAGCTTAACCTGGTGCATGGCTGGGCTTTAAAAATGGCACTAGCAGTGGCAAGTACCTCCCTTCTGGCAAAAGGGAATGTAGGACAAATGTATGACATAGAAGTGTAGTGCATTGTTATGGACCAGACCAGACCCCCCTCACAATAGTTTAAGAAGGTAGCCGAGACCATAACTTTTTCTTCTCAAAAGGTAGATGTGAAGTGCTAGTTCTAGATGTGGTGCAACTGGTCAAACCACTCGACATTAAGCAAAACACAATTTATTTAAATACAATAGTTAAAATACAAACAAAAGAAAGATGAATTTAGAAATAATTTACTTAACGGAACAATAGATAGAGTCCCTATTACTGATCAATTGTTCTGATATAGTAATATCCCATAAACACACCCCTTGACAAAAAGGTAAATTCAGACACAGATTCTCACAGGCAGGTTCCCAGTCCAGGAGGGGACAACATCAAGAGAGATTTCAGAGAAAGTCACAATTAGGAATCATTGACTGAAGCTTGTAACCTTTCTGGGACCCCAACAGCTTCCAACTGCTACAGCTAAAAAAAAACTAGAAAGCCTGATCTGGGAGAACTGGTCACTCCCCTTCCATTGTTACAACTATTGTTAAAAAAAACCTAAAGGCCTCTTAACCTATTGACTTAGGCTGGGTCCAGTAGATGTTTTATTGCCTCTACCTTTACAACCTCTCCTCAAAAAAAAACTAGGACAAAATAGCCTTTTTAAAGTGACAGCATTGTCACATGTGTAACTAATGACGTGAATTTTGGAGATTTAACATGAGAAATTTCACGAGGGCTGACAGAGAACATCCCTCCATGAAATTTATCAGCACTGACGTTGAACCAACTTCTGTTAAAATCCAATCTTCTGTTTCTTGTTGGCTTATCAATCCTCTACCTGTGCTAGTTTATCAGCCCTTACACATGAGCTATTATTTTGTGCATTGACCTTTCCTGTGGCACCTATCAAGTGCATTTTGGGAATCCAAATACACTACATTTACTGATTCCCCTACATCCATTACATTTACTTATTTCTTTTTATTCACCTTCATCTTCAAAGAACTCTAGTAAATTCATCAAACAGAACTTTTCTTCACAAAACCATGTTAATTCTGCTGATTGTATTATGATTTTCCAAATGTCCTGTCATCTCTCTTTCAGAATAAGTTTTAGTATTTTCTCAAGTATAGATCCTTTGGTGATACTACACGTAAGTACAGGAATGACAGGAGTAGCCGATAAACTAAATTAGATGAATGCACCTGTAAGATTGCAATTTTTAGTTTTAACTTCATATTGTAAGTTACTACGTCAACATTTTCATTCAGCATTTTCTTTTTCAGCTGGCTTTAACAACTAGATATAATGAAAAGATTTCATAAGTTTCTCTCCCAATTTTAACATTGGCTTATATATGAAAGCAGTTTGGATTCATTAACTGATTATGGCCAATGTCATGGGCAATTTGTATGGAAATATAAAATTGGACCATTGTCACAATGGATTAATAATGAGATTGGCAAAATGTACTGTTGAAACTTCAATTTTAATGTTTATCATAGCATGGCAGAATAGGAACTAAGGCAAGACAAGATCACGAGCATTGATTTTATGGGTAGTTTTGCCTCCTCTACACCACATCAGTTTTGGTATTAGAGTTTCCTAGCATTTTACACCCTAGATATTCCATTATGAATTACTTGTTTCCTAATCAGCATTAATTTCTTCTCATTTGATTGCTTTGTGCAGCTGGATGCCTTTTACTCCATATTTACCACTGAACAGCAAGACCACGTCAAATCAGTGGAGTACTTGAGGAACAACTTCCGACCACAACAGAAACTGAATGACAGGGTGGTTTACAAGTCTGCGGTCAAAGAGTCATGGAGCCAGGCAACTGAGAACCCTGGGGCTCTACACAATACAGAAGGTAGTTTTCTTATGCTGAGTTTTTTCATCAAGTTGCTACATTAGTTAAAACAATATACAGAATATAGAGTAATATTATTTATGAATTCAAAATCAGTATGACAGAGCAGCATGTTACCTTACTGAACCAGTTTCAGATTAATCTAATGCTTCAAGTTGAATATGACTCTTCAGAATCGAGTAAGATCTTCTGAAAAATTATTCTTCAAGATAAAATGGGTTTCATTTATGCCTGTTTTGAAACAGTTTAAAATTACTTCAAACCACTTTTGAGCATTCTTCCAAAGCCATCATATGCTGTGGAAGAGCTTTTTCCTAAAAGTAAGTTCTTTGTTCCCTGTTTTCATTTTTCATTGTCTTGATATTAAATTTCATATTCTTTTATGAGTGCTGCAGAAAATTTTATTAATTACAGACAGTGATTTGAAAGTATCGGTGTGCTTTGTGCTGAAATAAGCTGAGTGCGTTGAAGTGCTAAGTTTTATGTCAAGCCGAAAAAGGGCACTGCTTTCATTTTATAAAGTTTGTGTGGCAATTTTTTACAGTTTGTTTAAAATGACACGCCATGACATCAACCATAATTAAAAGCTCAAATAGCATTTTTACATGATGCAATTGTTACAAAAGGGGTGCACAATACAACTCTTAACCATAAGCCAACACACTTTTCAAGGTAGCACTATTTGAAACAGTTATTTAGCTGTTAAACTAGCAAAGTATTTTAGAAACTATTAACTACCACAGTAATTTTATCATGGTTGATTCAGGCATTTTGGTTTTGCTGTCAGCTAATGTTTAATACTGTAAAGTAATAGATTAATTCAGGCTCTACATTACAAGTTTTACTTAGCATAGGCATTGGTTCTTCAATTATCTCCACACATGTTAAAAGTGAAACCCTTTTTGGAGGGAAGAGGTTTTCATGACCTCAAACGAAATGGTTTATGCAATAGCAACATGATAAGGTCACTGAAATTAGTCTAGCATTGTCTTCAAAGAGAACAGCTAATTTAGCATGTTGTTAGGAACAGACATGGAATTTTCATGAAGGTAGCTATGAGGAAATACAGATAGTAAGTTGATTGATAACCGATGATGTAGTAAATGAGTATGGGAAGAATGCTTGGAAATTATGTTCACCATCAATCAGTGTTGGCTCACTTCCATTGTTTGTATCTGTGGATAATCTGGTTATAGGATTCACAATTTCAAAATTTGCTGATTACACAAAAGTAGAAGATTTGGCAAATATTTAGGAGAACTGATAAACTTCAGAAAGCTGTAGGTTAGTGAAATAGCAAATCTAATTTATTATGAATAAGTGTAAAGCACTGCATTTCACAGAAAAAAAAATGAAGGGTAGGATACATTTAATGGAAGTATACTGAAGATGTGGAGGAACAGAAGGAGCTACAGATTCAAACACACAATTCCCTAAATGTGTAACGGCAGTTCATTGTTTAAAATGGTTCCAGAATATTGGGCTTTGTGAATAGGTACATAGGGCATTACAGGAAAGAAATGATCATGAATTTGTACAAATACTGTTTCAGCCAAAATTAAATTGTGACAGGAACCTTTGCACAAACTATTATAGAAAGGACATTAAAAGGAAATAAGACATTTAATGTAAATTCACCAGAATGATAAGATGGATGGGAAGCAAGAGGACAACAGGACCTGAGATGCTCTGACTATTTCCACCTGTGCAGAGGATATGAAAAGCGAACTTAATAGAGCTATTTAGAATGCCTGATTTTGATAAAATGAGAAGGGAAAGACTGTTTTGCGACTGGTAAGTTCATCCGTGTGATCATCAATTTGAAATTCTTACTACTAGAAGTGAGGAGGATAATTCGGACAACATTTACCTGCATTGAGGATTGGTGGAGCATGGAATGATTTGGCAGAGGAAAAGGGTCATTAGAGGGACAGTCACATCTATTACAAGGAAGCAGAGGATAATACTTGGCAAAGAGATTAATTTCCAATTACTCTAGCAAGTAACAAATACGCCTAGTACCCTGTCTTTTGTGGAGTGGAACAAAGCAATGCTTTTTGTTCTTTATAAATTGTCACATGCTGTTCAGTGACAACTTACTGCCTTGTGCATCTGATATTGCTTAAAGGCTTCTATTGGCCCATTGATGACAGATCACCCAAACTTAGCAACTGGTAATCTGCAGTAGGGTCTTACAGACAGGCCACAAGATCAGTGCTGCTGGCCTGGCACCTAATTTCATGGCCCATCCATATCAGCCAGCAATTTCACCCCTGGGGAAGCTGGAAAATTCTACCTGCCACTTCTATATTTATCATTGGCACCAAATGGAAGAGGGCAGTCAATACTGTAGAAAATGGCAGCAGACTACAAGGAACCTTAAATAAACTTGCAGAATGAGCAGATAATATGTAAATTCATTTTAACACATTATTGTCAAATTAAAAAGACTTTAAAATGCAAGCCAAGCACTCAGGTTCGTTTCTAGAGGAATTGAAATGGTAAGTAGCAACATTTGACCACACTTGAAGAACCATGAATAATTTTGATTGCAACATATAAAATAAAGTTCTGGAGGTACTGCAGAGGTGGAGAAAAGATGATACAATAGCGAAAATACAACTGTCAAGAGAGTGTGAACAGGCTCGACAAAGGAGTGACGCAATAGAGGATGTCAAAGTTATGAAATATTTTGATGGAGCAGACACAGAATCACTATTTCCAGTTAACCAAAGCAAAACGAAATGATGGTTTAGTGGTATTATCGCTGGATTGTTAATGTAGAGACCCTAATGTCCTGGGGACCCGGGTTCAAATTCCACCAAGGCAGATGGTGGAATTTGAATTCAAGAAAAAGAAATCTGGAATTAAGTGTCTATTGATGACCATGAATCCACTGTCGATTGTCAGAAGGACTCATCTGCCTCACTTCCCTTTAAGGAAGGAAATCTACCATCCTTACCCCTGGTCTGGCGTACATGTGACTCCAGACCCACAGTAATGTTGTTGACTCTTAACTGCCCTCTGCACAATTAAGCATGGGCAACAAATGCTGGCCCAGCCAGTGATGCCCTCGTTCTGCTATTAAATTAAACAAATATAGTTACCAAGAAATCAAAGAGGGAATTATAAAGAAACTTTCCCCTGAAAGTGGTGAGAATGTGAACCCTGATATCACAGAGAGTTGTTGAGGCAAATAGAACCAATACATTTAATGGAAAAATAAATCAACAGATGAACGAGAAGGGAATAAAGAGTTATGCTAATAATGTTAGATGAAGTAGAGCATAAACAGTGGGATAGCCTAGTTGGGCAGAGTGGCCTGTTCTGTGATGTATATTTTATGTATTTCTATGTAATATTAAAGTGTTTCTTTTTGCAGCTAATTACAAAATCTTTCAATACGCAAGATGACTCGGGTTCTTAAACAAGAAATGCAAAATGGATTTAAAATGTAATAAAAATTGATCTGACTGGTTTAGACTTGATTATGCTCTGACAAATACTAGTAATAATAAATATGGCAGCATTAAGTTCAGCTAATTCAAAAGGTAGAATATTTCTTAACCAGAAAGAAGTTTAGCATTTATATGGTGCCTTTCATAATCATAAACCCTCTCAAGGCATTTTACAGCTGATGAAGTAATTCTGAATTGTAGTCACTGTTGTAGGAAATGTAGCAGCAAACTCCCAAAAATAGCATTGTGATAATGACCAAATCACCTGTTTTACATTATGTTGATTGAAGGATATATAGTAAGCAGAACATCTTGTCCTTCTTCACAATAGGGATCTTCTACTAGCTAATAGATGGGGCCTCAGTTTAACATCTCATTCAAAAGCAGGCACCTCTGCAACCTGAAGCAATTGCTATGACAATACACTGTTCACAGGCAATTGCAGAAGGTGTTCTTCATGTAATCTTAGATTACAACATAAACTTAACTGCAAAATTTTCAACATGGTAATTGACGCAAGATAATTGTGATAAAACATATTACTTTAGTGTTCTTGTTGCTGAAAAAATTATGTTTCATAATTGTTTTATAACGTTTTTATAATAATAACACATTGAAGCTTACATTTGTAAATTGCCTTTAATGTAATGAAACCTCTAAAGGTACTTGTAAGCATTGCATGATGTATTATGAGACTTTTAGGGACATTGTATTTGGTTGACCGACGGCTTGTCAGACAGGTAGGTTTTAAGAAGTGCTTTCAAAGCAAACAGTGAGGTGGGGGAGGAGGGTAATCCAGACTTGGGGCCCAGGGAGCAGAAGGTCATCAATAGTGGAACAATGAAAAGCGGTGGAATGCACAAGACTCAAGAATAGAAGAGAGTAAACATCTTGGAGGGCTATAGGACTGGAGGAGATTAAGAAACAGAAAGGAGCAAGGCTATTGAAGGATTTATAAACAAGCTTAAGAATTTTTAAAATCAAGATGTTCTTCTGTGTTTAGACATGTTTAAATAATTTAGCAGCACTTGTAGGCTAATACTTTCTGTTTTATCTTTCCTATAACTTGAATTAGTGAAGAATGAAAAATTCAATCCTGAACAGGCGAGTTCAATTGAATCTGATTTGTGAAGTATTTATGCCTGTGACGTTATTGTGTCTCACTAGAAATAACTGGCCGAATCAATTTGAGTCAAATTAAGCAGTCTCAAGAAAACTTACTGGAGTGAAATTAAATTGGAACTGAGGCATGCAATATCCATATAAACAATGAATTGATTTAAAATCAAGAACTTAGAGCTAAACCAGTCTTGTTATAATCCAAGCTACCTGACTTTATCTCTGCTACGTGAACTCATCAATTAACAGAAATATTAAATATTTCCAAAACTCAGCTCGAATTTACAAAAATAACTAAGTCGGCAAATGTCAGAAATCTGAAGTAAAAACACTTACTTTTCAAAACATAAAGCAGCTGAAAAAGGAAGTTATTTAACAAGTCAGCTGGAAATTAATATGTTCGCACGTTCCTATTCAAATGCT